CCCCCCCCCGCCCCGTACGCCTATGGTGCGGTCATAGACGTTTGTGGGAGTGGCGGTGCTACAAATTTTTTATGAGATTGCACAATTCGGTGACTTTCATAATAACACCAACACACACAAAAAGTATTATATCTTAGAATACACTGATATTACCAGTTCAGAAATATCGCCAACTCAAACCGACTTGACCTCGTAGCTCAGTTGGTAGAGCATTGGACTAGTATGCCAAAGGCTGTGGGTTTGTTTCCCACCATGGTCAGGCAAACTTTTCAGCTTGCCCGGTGTGGATGCACACTCCGAATAATATCACAAACATCAATTGTTATATGCCCTAATGTTTATGTATATAATATGTATTATTGTATTTATTTAACACCTATAAGTGATTATGTACACAGGTAAAAATTATGATTAATAGCATTGTATAAATAGACTTATTCCCGAGCTTGCCGTTAGGGTAAAGGTGCTGCATGCAGAAAGTGAAACACAGGTTGGGTTGTGTTTTGTTTGACTTAGGGATGGACCATTATTTTTTTGGAGGGGGGATGGAAAATTCTTAAAAAAATTGTTTGCAAAGACAAAAAAAGTGCAAATAAATTGTTTGCACACATAGAGAAGAGGAAAAAATAGTTTGCAAGCTAATGAGATTATGCAACATCAACTAAGGTTTAATAACAATGAGCAGAGCGCTCACCGACATACCCAGGGTCTCACCCCAAAAGCCCTGGGATGGGAGATGGCTTTATCCTTTGTCCTTGTTTAACCAAATCGATTTAAATTGTTACGTTTTTCTACCACTTAGTAATGATAAATTATTGTTAATAATTTTTTTATTTTTTGTGTGTATACTTTGCATAAATTTTAGAGTAAATTTAAATGGTCAGAATGCAGGAAATGGCATTTCTGGACTTCAAATTTCAAAAATTTTCTGGGGTAATATGCCCCCAGACCCTGTGGCCTTTAGCCATTCTTATCTCTCTCTAATATATTATCTCACAGAAGGGTCCTTTTCAAAAAATGCCCCTCTCTCCCATGGAAAAATCCTTAAAAAGGCCCTGACCAGTGTACCTAAAAAATTAAATGTCTGCAGTTTACATATTAAATTCATGCTTCTGACAACACCACATGTTGTTTGATCACACATGCGAAAGTGTAATCGGGCCCAAATTAAACTATATATATCAAGCTTGTGATGTTACTCTGAGTGTATATCCACACCGGGCAAGCTTGAAAAATATGCCTGACCACGGTGGGAATCAAACCTACGACCTTTGGGCTAGCATTCCAAAGGTCGTAGGTTCAATTCCCACCGTGGTCAGGCATATTTTTCAAGCTTGCCCGGTGTGGATATACACTCAGAGTAACATCACAAGCATCATATTCACCTGAGTACATTACACCAACACAGAAAAAAATCATGATTATTAGATTACATTAATATCAAAGGAACTAGATTCTGTTCCGAAATATCACATACTCGAACCGACCAGACCGCGCAGCTCAGTTGGCAGAGCATTGTGCTAGCATTCCAAAGGTCATAAGTTCGATTCCCACCGTGGTCAGGCATATTTTTCAAGCTTGCCCGGTGTGGAAATCCACAGCGATCAGATGAACAAAAAAAAAATGTTTGCAGAAAGAAGCAGGTGCAAAAAAATTGTTTGCAACAACAACAACAACAACACCAAAAAAAATTGTTTGCGTTGACAAAATGTCCATCCCCCCCCCTCCAAAAAAATAATGGTCAGTCCCTTAGCTTTTTTTTCTTAAAAATTTTTTTAACTTTCCGTTTAAAGGCTCTAAAAAATCCCTGAAAAAAACCCTGCTCAGTGCCATGTGAAAATAACAGCAGGAATTTCGAAATTCATAACAAACACGATGCTCGATACATGTAAGGCCATGTAATTTGGAAAGTTTGCAATGCAAGATGTTGATATTCCACAGTAATTTAGACAAATGCAAGTTTTTAGTCTGTGTCATTCATGCAATATTTTCACTTTTATAGTTCGATCGTGCTTTTACCTCGGATTTTTATACATATAAGTTATGGATATTCGCATATCTGATGCGGAAGTTTGTAACTTGGTATTCAACGGAAGATATGCCGAATTACGAGGCATGACAGGGCAAAATGTGGAGCAATTAAATACCGCAGACAAGGTATGTATGTTCCCCAGTTGACTCACAGCAACCTGATACCCAGGGTTTTGCTTCCACTCTTCCACTCTTCCACTCTTCCCTGGGGGGGGAGGTGGCAGAAGTGAAAACTGTGAGTATCAGGTTGGACTCGCAGGTCGTCTAGGCTCTGTGTGGGTCTTTATGTATTTTATGATATTTTGCATTAACAATTTACTTTAAATTATGAAGTATAACTTACTTAGTTTCCTTTATGTTTTCTATGTGATTTGGGGGTGGTTTTAGTTTGATATCATGATATAAAAAAACCATCATGAGAATGCACTTTAATGTACACTTTATATATTGTAAAATTGTTAAAAAAATAATGCCCAAATACACAATATTGGTGGATTCATTTATGTCATTTACTTCACTTTCGTCGATTTTCAGGCCATTTTGTTGAACCCAACTTTTGGGGGTGATCATTGGTAAGTGTGAAATGCCTATAGCACTAATATTTCACAAGAAAATGACCATGCAATAATCATAGTAAAACGTCAATTTGTGGCTTGCAACTTCAGATAAACAGCAGTGGACTTACATTACCTTTTTCCCTAAATCTTTTTGATAGAAACATAATTGGTACTTATTTAAATATAATATCACTGGTTTGGTGTAAAATAGTTAATATTTTCTGAACGAAATAATAATTTGAAATGTGCCTACCTCCTGCAAATGGACGTATTTGGCCAAGTTCTCCACTTTACTCCGCGGTTTATTGGCGATCTCGTCGACATCCTACAAAAAATGTAAATCATCTCAGACATAATGGTATCAAGAAAATTTTAAACAAGTTTCAACTCGGTTTCAAGTAGATCATATCTGTTTAACCATCAACAAGGTAAATCACAACTTTGTCCAAATTCGGCGCCATTTTGTCATCCCATGTCGGTTGTCAACAATTCGGCCTCGTTACTCTTCCATCCAAGCCATTTCCATTCCACTAATAATAAATTTAACCCTTTATAACGGTAGGAAACTAAAAAATCTAAACAAAACATAAGAAATGCGCCATTTTATCACCCTGTAAAGTGTTGTTTACGAGTCCTTCAAAACACTTCGTACAAATCTCGCGTGGTTTAGCAACAGGGACTTGGTAGGGGGGTAGAGACTTGAAAAATGAAAGGAAAGCCCACACAATATCCAACAATCAAGTTAATCAACATTTAATTTGTATGACTTTTTCACCTTGCGTAATTTGTCCCCCCCCCCCTTAATATTACGCAATTTTACTAAAAATTCGTAAGGCTCTGCGGAGGAGAGTGTGACTTTTTCATATTAATAAATAATAATATGTATATATTTGTCGCTACAGGAAATAAAACAAACATTTGTATGATTGTATTTAGCTTTTAGTCTATTTCACGCAGCGTTCTTCTACCTTCGTGAAATAATTCACCACCTCCTGTCACGTCCCTGTTACTTTGTCACGCGATATTTGTACGGAATGTTTTGAAAGACTCGTGAGCAAAATTTTACAGGGTGATAAAATGGCGCATTTCTTATATTTTGTTTAGATTTTTTAGTTTCCTACCGTTATAAAGGGTTAAATTTATTATTAGTGGAATGGAAATGGCTTGGATGGAAGAGTAACAAGGCTGAATTGTTAACAAGCGACATGGGATGACAAAATGGCGCCGAATTTGGACAAAGTCGTGGATTTACCTTGTCGATGGTTAAACAGGTATGATCTACTTGAAACCAAGTTGAAACTTGTTTAAAATGTTCTTGATACCATTATGTCTGAGATGATTTACATTTTTTGTAGGATGTCGACGAGATCGCCGCTAAACAGCGGAGTAAAGTGGAGAACTTGGCCAAATACGTCCATTTGCAGAAGGTAGGCACATTTCAAATTATTATTTCGGTCAGAAAATATTAACTATTTTACACCAAACCAGTGACAATATATTTAAATAAGTACCAATTATGTTTCTATCAAAACGATTTAGGGAAAAAGGTAATGTAAGTCCACTGCTGTTTATCTGAAGTTGCAAGCCACAAATTGACGTTTAACTATGATTATTGCATGGTCATTTTCTTGTGAAATATTAGGGCTAGGCATTTCACACTTACCAATGACCACCCCGAAAAGTACCATCTCTGAACCATATAAGCACCTCAGAATAGCCAAAGCTTTTATGGTTTGGTAGATAGCAGTATGGCGAAAGCGTCGTTTTTGGGTGTGGTCAGTTTCTGACGTTTCGTCCCGGATTGGGGTTCGGGCAGCGTTACCATGTTGACCGTCATGGTCAACTTGCCCTAAAACAGTTGAGATTATCTGTCCTAAATGAAATGCATACAAACTCATATACAGGTTCTCGACTATGAGCGTTCTGGTTAGCGCCTGGCCGATCTTGCATAATAGCTATCGAACATACAAGTAAACAACGGATCTAAATATAAATCCCTTCATGTATATCACCAGAAGCTATCCTTACCCGAATTATTCAAAATATTGTCGATCGTTTGCATCGTGAAAATCAAACATACTGCATGTAAATAAGCTCGTAACTGAAATCCTGAGAAGAATCTTGCAAATGCAATACAAAATAGAGTTTCATCGCTCCCTTGTTTAAAAAACGTCTTGTAGTTGTATATTTTTAAAATAAATTGCTCATTGTGATAAAAATGCATTGTCATTTTTCCATACCTTGTAAATTTATTATATAAACCGTCTTCTACAACCTCGTTGAACTTTTCAAGTGTTGACATCTCGGAATCATTTAAAGCGTTAAATGATATCAAATATCATCTGACTGTAATCACATGTTTAATTGAACAATTTGAAATGTTGTTTCCTCAAAAAAAAATGGCGAAAAAAGCCACCAAAACTGTCGAAAAACCACGATTTGCAAGAAACAGACGAATTTTGCAAGAAACGGCCCAAGATCTCCCAGGCGCTCCTCAATTTTCGATGCCTCAAGCCCATAACTCCCTGCGCTTGTTCGTCGCGATGCACTACTTCATGTAAACCTTTCATATAGTGTGTCTCGCATGAAATCTTTTTATTAGCGCCTGGGGACGAGGCAGATACTATACTACCTAAGAATATGGCCGCCGCTCGCGAGTGTATGCAGGTATATGTCTGCGCGACCGCCTAACATCAAAGGAGTGTCCCTTCTGGTTCTATTCCTTATTCTGTGACTGTAGTAACACAAACATTTAACGACTATTTACTGCATGTTTTCCAAGCTAAAATTTAAAAAAAAAGAAAAAAAAGATTGTTGAAGGAAATAAAGTTATACTTTCATGTTCTTTATTAAAGCTACGTTGCAATTACCAGTGTGAAATTGACACCGTATTCAACTACATATTCACCACTACGTTCAAAAACACATTCAAAAAATGGCAATGGCTAATTTCAATCACTCAAAACGACAAAACTATCAAGTGCTATTTTCTCTCACAATAAACAACTCAGTGCAACAAAAAGACGATAGAAATACTTACAGCGAATTTATCTTTAATTTGAGCTATTAAACTTATAGCCGAAAAAAGGGGCTGAGTTATGAGAAGTTTTAAAACGGCAACCCGGATAACGCGCTATAATCTAATTATATTAATAAATTTAAATTACCGTGACTAAAGTTGCATGAGTTTGAGTGCGTTTTTCGATACTTTCAACTCAAGTGCATAATTTGAATGAAGAATCATACGAAGGTATATATAAAATTGTACAAAATATGAAAGTTATAGAAAATCGTACAGAATAGAGGCTGAGTCATTATGAGAAGGTTTATCACAGCAACACGGATAACGTTCTAATATATAATTTATATTTCTGCGACTAAACTTGCATGAGTTTGAGTGCGTTTTTCTGTACTTTAAACTCTAGTGCATAATTCCACTTTAATATGGTAGGAAAGTACATATAAAATTCAGGGTCGCCCAGAGGGGGGGGGGGCAAACGGGGCAAAGGGGGCAAATTGCCCCGGGCCCCGATTTGCTGGGGGCCCCTGAAAAATTTTTGTTGGGCCCCAGCTTTTTTTTTGTTTTAAATATTTCCGCGCAAAGGACAAGATATCTGTTTTCTTGGGCTAAGTACCGAATTTTGGCATAAAAAAATGAGATAAAGTCCCTCGAAAACAATTGCAACGTACTCGTCCGGAAAAATTTTGTACTCCAAAAAATTTTTTTACCCCTAAAATGGTACACTGACCGAAAATTTTTTGGCGACGGGGGGGGATGTTGTTGCCCGGAAAAAAATTTTCCGGGAAAATTTTTTTAGATAGGGGACCCTAAAAAAAAGTTTTGGCGTGGCCCGGGCCCCCGCCAAACTCTGGGCGGCCCTGATAAAATTGTACGATATATTAAAGTTTGAAAAAATCGGACAGAATAAAGGCGGAGTTATGAGAAGGTTTATCACGGCAACACGGATAACGTTCTATAATTTGAATGAAGAATCGTAGGAAAGTACATATAAAATTGTACAATATATGAAAGTTATGAGAAGTTTTATCACGGCAACACGGATAACGTTCTAATCTAATTTATATTTCCGCGACTAAAGTTGCATGAGTTTGAGTGCGTTTTTCTGTACTTTCAACTCAAGTGCATAATTTGAATGAACTATCGTAGGAAAGTACATATAAAATTGGACACAAGATGAAAGTTTGACTCTCCTGATAAGCATACCCGTCTATTATTTTTAGACTACACAAAGGCCTTCGATCGTATCGGACATAATGTGCTTATTAGTAAGCTTATCGATATCGGAGTAAGGGCTCTCTGATCCCATGGATTACAAGTTTTCTATCTAACCGTAGACAGTGTGTTAGACTTGGTGGCGCTACCCAGGGGTGGAAATTGTTTTTTCTTTCTGGGAACCTGGGTCAAAGGCTAGAAATTTTCTGGGAAATTTGCAATATTGACCGAGAGAGCTGCGTTTAAACTTGAGTAACCATTTTTGAAAGTGTCGAGAATTAGCCAAAACGGCCTATCAAATATTAATACAGCAATAACCTGTGTTTAGACACACTATAGTCAGAAAGTACACGTTCGTTTTCAGAGACCTGACCAACGCCGCTGGTGTAACCTCACAAGGATTATTTACCCTCACATATTCTAAACATATCTTTGGTCCTTTGTCAAACGAGGCGTATTTATAAAAAAAAACATGCGACGTTTCTTTGTTGGAACATTGGAATTTGATTTCCATGCAGGGTATCAACATCGCATCATAAGTTAATTTTCATGCATTCGCATAAACCTTAAAAGAAAAAGAAAAGAGCACATCCATCCAATATTTTTAATTTAAACTTCACTTCATTGAAACGAATATTTACGATAAAATGGTAACGGTTATCAAATTAGTTTAACAGGCCGTCTTCAGCTAATTCTTGACACTTCCCAAAATGTTTATTCAAGTTTAAACGCGGCTTTCTCAGTCAATATTGTACAAAAATGCACAGGACATATAACAAAATTTAAGTTAGACAATACTGAATACAATGCACATAGTTTAGATGTAATAGCTCTTTTAGTTTTTAAGTTAAAATAAATCAAACAGGGCAACTTTTTTTTGCGCCACCTGGTAGTATTATAGCACTGGGAATTGTTTACTATTTAATTTGCATTTTATTGGAGACTTTAATTTGCAGAGCATATATTTACCATTTTACCTCATTGTAGGGGTGGGTACCATAATTAATTTCTGTCAAATATTTAAAAGGCTGCTGATGTTTATAGTGTGTACAGTGTAAGTAAAGTAGAATAGTTGTAACTTGTAAGTTGAGTAAACAGAGTTATCTCAAAATGTTGAAATATTTTCTGGAAAATTTTCTGCGAAACTCTCAACTCAAAAAAATTTCTGAGAACTAGGTTCCCAGGTTCCGATACTTTTTCCACGTCTGGCGCTACCTCGGATTGGTTGGCGGTTACAGCCGGTGTACCACAAGGTACAAAATTGGGACCAATCTTATTTTTGATTATGATCAACGATCTAAAGATCCCATCCACAGGGAATACTGGTACTTGGAAATTCATGGATGATGTATCCATTTCAGAGTCCCTGTCAAGAAACAGTGAATCCCGTATGCAGAATCACCTTGATGAGGTCAACATATGGGCTGACAACAACCTAATGAAGCATTTCTTTAAATAAATCCAAAGAAATGCAAAGAGATGCACGTCTGTTTCCTTAAATAGCGACCCATTTTAGAACGTCTCAATTTGAGGGGACACCCCCTGGAAATCGTTTCCCATCATAAGGTTCTTGGCTTGGTTATACAGGATAATCTTAAGTGGAATGGGCAAATTGCCATGATTGTTAAAAAGGCCTCCAAGCGTTTTCATATTCTTAGAATTCTTAAACGGGGTGGAATCCCACCTCATGAACTGATCCTTATTTACTATGCTCTCATTCGCTCCGTACTAGAGTACTGCTGCATTGTATGGCATGACAATCTACCAGCTTATCTGGCGGACTCAATTGAACGAGTTCAGAAAAGAGCACTGAATATAATCCTCCCTGGCAGGTCTTACCGTGAAGCTTTGAGTCAGCTCCATTGGCATTGTTCTCGCCTGGACGAGAGACGCGATGCTTTGTGTGAAAGAACGATTAAAAAGATAACTCGGATGGCAACCGCCTGTTTTATCTCTTACCTCAGACTAGAGAAAACATGAACTACGATTTACGTAACGCTAACAATTGATCATTGTTCAAATGTAGAACTGATCGTTTTCAGAAAAGCTTTTTCCCAAGTATGATTCGAGTCTTAAATATATCATGACACTAGTTTTTGAATATCTAAACTATTACAATAATCAATATATACTTTCCTCACACCTAAAATTTTTAAATTGTAAATATAGTGTTAAACTTATTGTATCTTTATTAACTTAGTTATGTAATTATTGTAAGCACATTGTAATTCAATTTTTTGTGATAGTGTGCCATTAAAAAACGCATATATATATATATATATATATATATATATATATATATATATATATATATATATATATATATGTGTTG